AAACAATTTTAGATTCTATAGCAAAATACCATAAACTGGGTGTCTTATAAGCAATACAGATTTCTCACCCATGGGGATGCCAGGAAACCCAAGGTCAAGGCAGCAGTAGATTCAGTGTCTGATGAGGGCCTACTTCCTGGACCACAGACGGCCATCTTTTTATCGTACCCTCATTTGGAAGGGAAAAGGAGCTTTTGTAAAGGCAATACTCGCATTCATGAGGACTCTGTTCTCATAACTAAACATCTCCAAATGCCATTGCATTGTAAAGTAGGCTTCAGACTATTGAATTTGGGGCAAATACAAATATTCAGTCTATACAGGTGGGAAAATGAAACTAGGATTTAACCAAAATAAAGTTTGCTATATTCCAAGGATGAATGATCAGATTTTCTTTGTCATTCCTCACCCTGGAGCCTTGTTGAAAATATCCCTTAAGTTTAGTACCTTATACCCAAATGGCCACTCCAGGTAAAGCTTAACCCTGTCAGCGGGCTGTAGCGATGTTACTCTTTCCTCCGTCAAAACTAAGTACTCATTCACCAACTCACAAGAAAGTAAGACCAAAGTTTACGTGTTGTTTCACTGCTTGAAAATTGTTGTAGCAGAGATATGTGACATCTTCATTTGAGGAAATTGTATCCACACCAGACTAACTGGAGGAAAACGGAAAGAAACCAAAGGGAAATTCCTATCCCACTTTCATCAGGGGAAATGAAGTATAAGAAAAAATCGCTTTCAGCTATTTGCTGATAACCTCTGTTTTCATAAATCTAATCTATGTGCTTAGCTAATTGCCATAGTTGAGTTTTATAATTAAGATAAATTAAAATCCCACTTGGATCTTTTAAATAATCCAACATGAATACGTGATTTAGAAATAGATTGTTCTTGCTTTACATTTTCCTCTAATTTAGAATACTTAAAGGTGAAAAGATTTTCTCTCAAATACTCACCTTTGGGTTCATTTGAATTTTTAGGCACATTCTATTTGTTCATAGTCTCACTAATCATGTCAAGCCTGCTTCCTCTGGCTGTTCACAGAAGTAATTTTCCTATGTTCTAGCATGTTTTCCTTTAGATCCTAAAACTTTACAAAGAAAAATAAAGAAATAAAATGTCATGGAAACTTATATTTGTCTTTGACCTTTCTGAATCAAAAGGGTTGTTTTATTTCCTTTATATTGCTTGGCAGGTTAATAATGAACAAACATATAGTACAGAATTTTGGATATTATACAAGTAAATATTTTCATTAGTTTTAAAGTAAAGAAGTGCATTTTGAGAAATCACTTCAAATGTACTTCACATGAAGCTTGTTAGTGAAAATTATGAAATTGAAGCCAAATGCCCTATTGAACCTACACAACTTGAAGTATTTTAGACTCCATAATAGGAAGGGCGTAAGAGTCATCTGTTAAAGCACTGCTGTCTGCCAGATGCAGTGGCATATGTCTGCGGGAGTCACACCTACTCCAGGAGCTTGTGGGAGAAGATCACTGGAGCTCAGAACTGCAAGACCAGCACAGGCCACACAACAAGGACTAGCCTCAAAAGCCAAAACAATAATAGATATTGTTATTTCATTCTCTCTATGTCTTCTTCGGCTAGCAACGTATTTTACCAGAGAAATTTTATCATAGAAAGTATAATTTTACCATAGAAACACCACTTGGTTTTTATTTCTGTAGAAGAACAAAGAATTAGAGACTGAAATAGACAGATTGAACACTGTCTGATTTCCTATCTATTTTTTCTGGAAAGAATAGTCTGTCCTTTGATTTACAAAGACAGATCTTTCTGTTAAGAGAAAAGATCCGTTCTGAAGTGTTGGCGTCTGACAGTCAGGGTTTACGGGACTGTGGGACCCTCTGTGTTCCGTTCTCTTTCACACAAGTCCTCCCACGTCGTGACCCCGGCCCCTGCTGCCCACTCTCCTTTCTACATCTCTTTGCCATTGTCTTGTTTGTTGTTAGGTGACCTCCGTTGTTCATTGCGAGTGCAGTGTGTGTTCTTGTTTCAGCTAAGGCCCATCAAGATCTTCAAAAGTTACTGGTGACATAAATCATGCTGTTTCAGTCATATTTTTAGTTAGTGCCAGTCAAAAGTACGAGAAAAAATTGTGTTCATGTCTGTATCCAGATATTTTAGGGATCCACTTAAAAAGTTATTCAAGAAGAGTACCTAAAGCTTTCTTTTTTCTTCACCTGTCTTATTTAGGACTTTTCCTTCAACCATTTCCTACTCATAGTAACTATGACTACACCTGCTGTGGAACATGGAAGTTGCTAAACAGATGAGCTGATTGTATGGGTGTTTAAATCAATTGCACTCCAATAAAGAAAGAAACTTTTAATTGAAATAGGTGATGTTTTCCTAGGAAAGCAGAAAGGGAAGCTTAACGATGTGTGGTCTACTCTCTGGACACAGCCTTGGATTTCCTTTTCTTCTGAATCTTGTCCGGTTGTGTGCATGCATCAGTGATGCCACAGAAGACACCATAACTGACAATCAGATTTCCTTCAGCACTTCATTCTGCACACATTTCACAGGACCTAAAACGCTAAGTGTTGTGAAGCGCTGGAGGTGCAGTAAACACTACACATCATACTTGACCTTGCAGAGCTTCAGCATTTAAAGGAAAAGCTGTTTATCAAATATGCAGCTGTGAAGTCAGCACCTATGTCTAAAGGGTACATTTCAGGAGCTAGGACAGTATACAGCCAGATGTCATAACCAACTTGAAGATACTGGAAAACATCATTGTTGGCTAAGGAAAGGTGGGAATGAGGTGGGAGCACAGGAAAGCATCTCAAATAAAAGAAAACTATTAGTGCAGAGGTTCAGAGAGGAGAAAAAAAGAGCTGTAGGAGAACTGAAGGAAGCTCTTAGGGCCAAAAGTAGGAGAGCAAGTCAGTGGTGGTCACGGGGTGCAGTTGGAGAAGAGAAAGGACCAGATCGCGAATATCTTCCCGCATTTCCCTGAAGCTCTGAGATTTTATCCTAAAAGCAATGGGAAGTGTTGTCCAATAGTATCCTTAGACACTGGCTGATGAATAGAGAGTGAGTGGGACTGACTAAAGAGATCTGCTGTTAAAACTGCAATAGTAACTGGGCAGGAGGGATTTGTGAGCTGGATGTGGGCTGGGTCTAAAAGTACACACCTCATTCGTGACGATGGGAGCACTCTGGTGCGGAGAGAGCGAGGCAGCACCAAAGCCACAAGTGAGAAAAAGTCCCTGGCCAAGGATGGGTGTTTTTGAAAAATATTTTAAGTTTTCTTTTCACATTATACATGTAGAACATGTTTATTATATAAATCACATCTAAGGCAAAAACACATATTCAACCATAATTATATGCCCTAAAATAATCAATATTAATCTCCAGTACAGCTTTAAGCAATACATACATGAAAATATATGAACACATTTTGTGCAAATTGTGCTCATATTTTAAAACCAAAGATAGAGATGAAAATTTATACCACTTGTATCCTGTTTTGAAAATGACTAGTGTACCAAAAATACATTCCTACACTTTAATATACTATTTTACAACATTTTCATAATTACATAAATCAAGGAAATGTATATATATTTATCATTGTTTTCCTTGAATTTGTATATGGTTTGATTTTGATACTTACATTTTCAATTAAATCTTAATGTGTACACTATTTTGTCATGTAGACTTTCAAATGGAAAATTGACAAGATGTAAAAAACATTCTTTCCTATTGCTCCAAAACTTTATAATCAATATTGCAATAGGCTCATTGGGGTGTATATAGTATATTATTAGGAAAACACAATAAAAGCAAAACCACCTGTAAATTATTCCAAATTTGGGAAAAATAGTTTACTGATTTCTTCCCTAGGAAAATGCTTCAGTTTTTATTACAACATAGCACTCATCTCAGCTACTACCAAAATGTCTTAGTTCAAAATTCTAGGTCAGTTAATTTTTATGGAATAGAAAAACTCTTTTTGCAATATTCAAATAAAAAAAAAATTGCAATATTCAACTGAACTTGCAGCCCAGATTCTGCTTAAGTGCTTTACAGATCAAGAAAATATTCATCTGTTTGCAAGCATCATTCGAGGTCAGTTTAAACAGTTTCTAGTGACAATTTCTTTTTATTCAAAGAAGCAGAGCCCTCATTTAGTTCAGACCTATGAATAGGGGCTATTGTTTATGGCTTGTATTTGTACTGCAAGCAATGATACTTTTTTGGGAATAACTTAACACAAAGCCGGTATCTGAGTAAATAAAAACATACATACAATGCTTTGAAAAGTTCTATGCTTCAGCATGTTAAGCTTTAAATGAAACTGAAGAACGCTCAAACTCACTTTTGTCAAAGCCTTTTCCTGAAACATTGAATGATGCAAGATGTAATTTCAAGCGATTGATAAGCCAGTTTCTGTGGAATACGCAAGAACTGTTTGGATTTGTGGTTATCTCAAAGGAGACAAAGAAGGGAATTTGTTCTCTGAATAGGAAATAAAGTATGCTAGGCCTATTTTAGATGCTCTAGTGTGCCAAAGATGATATGAAGTTTGGTGTTCATAAATTACTAATCTGGAATAAGAGGTTGAATGTATTTTGAAAACTTAAACCTGTTTCAACTGAACATGTTTAACTAGTTAATAAGAAACATCCAAAAGACAAAACCCTGAGGTCAACGGTCATTTTTTTTGTAAAGCTATTATATGCTGTTTAAATTGGTTGTTCGGGTCTGTCTATAACATAAGTTTAATAACCTAGCTCAAATGCAGATTTCTAATTTTCAATTAACATAGGAATAATTTTGTTTGCTAAAATAAAATAAATGAATGAATGACAAGTCTGAACCATGAAATGTTCTAGGTAGAGCTTTTTAAAATTCCAAATTTCAAAACATCATGTGGCAACTGTATAGCTCAAGCTTTAAGTATTAACTTTTAACCTTTGACCTTACAGATTTTAACCAATGAAATGTCTCTTTAAACTTTAAAGGGAACAATGATAACGAGCGCCTGGCGATTGCTAGACAGCGAATTCCATATCGACTTGGTCGAGTAGTTGATGAATGGCTACTCGACAAAGGTAAAAACATTGATTAAAACTTCAAATAAAAAATAATTTGAACATAACCAACTAGTACTTCATTGTAACACTAATAAACGTAAAAAATAAATTTTCCGTAAAACTAAATTAAACACAAATTTAAAACAGTAAAATGTAGACAGTAATATTTGCATACCTTGTATAATAATTTTATACATTTATAGACGTACCAGCTGTTTAATAATCTTACCCAGTTAACTTAAGGTTAAAGGGACTGTTAAATATAATCCACTAACTCAATCTTCGAAGGTACTCACAGCAAGCATTAACCCAAAATGATAAATCATTCGTAGATTATATTACATGTTCCAGCCTCTAAATTATTAACTAAAATATATGTAGTTCTGATATCTTTATTACGGTCCTGAAAAAAAAAAAAAAAAAACAACTCTTTGTTTAAACTTTAGGCATCTTAAATAGTGGGCAATATGGATTGCCGGTCAAAATGAAGTCCCTTTAACATTGGCAACCTTCTAAGAACATTTCGGAACAAGCCCTAATTAAAACTGAACTTAAAGTCGTGTGCATGCTTTTCATGGGCAGAGAGCAATCTGCTAAAACTGGACACTCGATTTGTTAATGGTACTGCTGCTAAGGATTGCTGTTTGATGGACATGTGCCATGATTTCTCCATTGGTTTGTGTGTCATTCCTGAAGCCGCTTTTTCACATCTGAAGCTGTTTTTTTTCCATTTTCTTTTGTTTTAATAGACTTGCTGAAAGCCAATCAGAAAAATAGTTTTGGAACATTTTGTCTCTGACATGCTCAGTGTAAACCATGCATTTCTTTTCAGTGTGATTGCCGAAAAATAGAATAAGTAAAATAACCATGGACTATTGCCTTCAAAACAGAAAACATGTCTAAAAAATAGCATGTAGATACATGTGGAAATTATGCGACTTACGAAATTTTTACAATAAAATTTAATGTTAGATTTCAGCTTCTATAGATTAGTTTATGTCAGAGGTAATTTTAGGGTGACAAATACTTGAAATCTTAGGTATGTCACACTTTTTAAATTCATTTAGGCATGAGATCAGCAATATCAGATCTTGAGAGAAAAGAAAAAAGGGATTCAGAAAAATTGAATTGTAATACATATCTTTGATTGGTCTTTTAGCAAAAACACTACATTTACAATAAGTTGAAAATTTACAAGTATTTGCCGATAATTATGCATTTCATGGACACCTCATTTATAAGCAATGAATTATGAGTCAAATGCCTCTCTTATAGTTTATTGCTCTCATTATCCACCCCATGAAAGATCTGTTTTATCATCCTTTGTAGAATGTAGAGTTCGCAATCAACATTTTTGCATGTATGTAATGTTATCTTTACAGGGCGTCAGCTCACAATCTTCAATAGCCAAGCAACCATAATAATTGGCGGGAAAGAGCAGGGCCAGCCCTTCCAGGGCCAGCTCTCTGGGCTTTACTACAATGGCTTGAAAGTTCTGAATATGGCAGCTGAGAACGATGCGAACATCGCCATAGTGGGAAATGTGAGACTAGTTGGTGAAGTGCCTTCCTCCATGACGACGGAGTCGACAGCCACGGCCATGCAGTCAGAGATGTCCACCTCAATCATGGAGACCACCACGACCCTGGCCACAAGCACCGCAAGGAGAGGAAGGCCCCCCACGAAAGAGCCCGTCAGCCAGGTGAGCACATGCATTTCATTCCTTTGTCTTGGACGTATGATTGAAAAGTACACTTTTCTGCATTTGTGTTTACTGAAATGGGATGTTTTTTTCTCCTCTCTGTGGTTCCTTTGAGACTTGACTTAGCCCAGGTCATGTGGTCTGAACATGAAATGTGGGTGTGTTGTGAGTTAGAGCTTTGAGGGCTTTTGTCAAAGCTGTTGGTGGTGTCAGTTTGTTAGCTGCTGGGGGACAGTCTTGACAGAACTTCGGTCTTGGCCAAGCTGGTGGGATTGTCTAGTTTTTAAGTTTTAGGAACAAGTAAATTATTAAAATACATGAAAGTCCTGGTTGGTTTAAATTCAGTGCTTCATCAAAATAAAACAAAAGCAAAAGCAAATTTGATATTCCTGGAACACTGTTGTATCCAGAAGTGTAAAGTGTTTGAATCGGTAGAAAAGTGACTGATGTGGTGAATGATCCTGGACATCAGAAATGTAAAATATACTATTTAAGAACTGTCTTGGGCTAAGATATTTTGTATGATAGTTGACCGATTGCTCTCATGTGGGGCTTATTTTAATAAGCTTGTTTGATCTTGTGTCTAAAATTTTTGAAAAGTGGAAGTTTTAAGGCCAGGGTGCATCTCAGTTGGAAGAGCACTCGCCTAGCATGAATCAGTCCCTGGGCTCTATCTCCAGCACTGCAAAAGGAAGAAGTGAATTTTTTAATGTGATATTGGCACAATTTGGAAGTATATTAATTCAATCAAGACCCACAAACTGATTGCCTGCTCCATATTAGGCATTGATCTAGTTATCGGCATTGTATTGATGAAGAACATAAAGTGCAGATGAAAGACTTTATGAAATGCTATTGTTAAAAGCTGTCAGATCCTGTTGATCCGTATCACCATTGCACACATTCAGTTGTTAACGGTTTCAGAACTGTGTGTTTTCTTTGGTCCCAAATCGCTTTTGCTGTTTGTCTTCAGTAGGTGCCATAAAAACCTTTTTCAAATGCACGATCCTTACTCTCCTAGAAAACTGCATTCTAAAGGAGCAAGAATGGAAACTGTTATTTTCAAAATTGCTTTTTACCTAAAGTGTCTCATATAGGCTGAGTATCAGATTTGGAAAGAAAGCAATGCAAAGCACCTTCTGTCTGCATCATTACTCTATATACTAATTAACATGTCTATCCCAGAACAAAAAAAGAAAATAGATTCTAAGTTTTACTTTGAATAGGAAGGGGTCATAGGGGTAGAATAGAGGAAGATAAAGTCTCCTAGAAGAAATGACTCTATAAGCGTAAGTGGTGTATGTTCATAAATGTGGTACAGTGCTGTTTTGCACAGTTGCATCTAGACATGTCTATTTTCGTGCATCTTTATGCCATTTTTGCATTTGGCCATGAGGTGAAAAGGGCCATCTCACAGGACACCAGTATGTATTTGTTGATCACACTCTACATGTACCAGACACTGATTTAGCATGAAGACATATGGTAACACCAAACAAAATCCGCTGCCCTCGTGGAATCATGTTTTTATCAGGAATGTTACCTGGAGTATAACTATTTTGGTGCTTCTGTTTAGATGTACAGTATCATTGATCATACTGTAATACTTGGCCCCTTTGATGAAGACATGGGATTTAAATGAGTGTTCATGAAAGTATCCTTCATAAGGCCCTTGTCCAGTAGCTGTTTGATACACTTTCCTAATATTTCTGTAAGGTGCTGTTATTGTGGTTGATTCATGGTTCATTTTATACTAAATGAGTTATTAAGGTCAATCTGATATTCTCATAGCAAAGAAATACAAAAGAATTGATAGACCTTCCTGTAGACTAAAAAAACTCGTAAGAGAACATTTAGGTATATTCAGGTTTGGAAATATTTCTGTGGATATAATTTGAAATAGTTACTTTCCTCTGTAGTCTTGTTTCATTGGTAATGAAATTACAGTTGCCAAAACTCCCAGGTGAAACAGATGTATCCCCAAATGAGAAAAGAAACATTAGCATTGTTTTTTATTTTATCAGCTAGTATCTGCGATGTAAAGAGAAATAACATCTTTTAAAATCCGGGAAATAACTTTTCATTGAAAAGATAAATATCTAGAAATGCAGAAATAAAAATGTATGCATTTTATAATATTAATTAATGCAAAAGGAAAATAATTACCTGCTTGTTAACTGCCAACACAAAAGTCTCTTTTATTATGAACTGTGTACCACATGTTTAAAGACAGCAATACTTTTTAGAACTAAGCAACCGAATCAATTAATGATTACTTGGTTTATTTAAGGAGGTATTGACATAAATAAAAATATTACTAGGTTCATTTAAAAATAGATATTTTAAATCTTTACATTTTAATAGATTAAGAGCAGTAATTAAATAATTTGGATTAGTATGTTACAAATATCCAATTGTTGCAAGTTTCAATTGTAACAACATTTTGTTAAAGTTTTACAAATAGTTTTGAAATTGTTTTATTGTGATTACTGACAACAATGTAATGTACCTATGTTGGAGAGGAAAACTGTGAGGAAAGGAAGCACACTGTTTATTTTTGAGCAACAGGATAATTTTTTGCGAATTTTTCTTACCTCATAATTGATTTCTTTTATTTGAAAGAGAATAGTAAATAAAGAACAATAGCAAAATATCAACTTCACAGACAAATTCAAAACAAAGGAAAAACGTTAAAAATGATACAGGGTTTCAAAATAAAATGATAGGAATTAACAGTGGTTGTTATATTATATATTGTTACCTTCAGCGAAGTTGCTCAGATTACCACGTGTAAGACTGCAAGATTGATCAAACCATTGAACAGAATAAGAAATAGTAATTTAAAAAAACATTAGAGATGATACAGAGTTTCACTAGACAAGATGGTAGGAATTCACCAATGGTTATTACATTGCTAAATACTAATGGCACATAAATATATGAAAAAATGTTCAACATCATTAGTCATTTGAGAAACGTAAATTAAAACAACACCGAGATTCCATCTCATCCCAGAAAGAACAGCTGTCATTAAGAAATCACAGCTGATTTTTAAATTGCCCTCTATAAATACAAGAGGTCACTGAGAGATGTAGTTTTTGTTAGAATTGCTCCACATATAGAAAGTTTAAATATGAGAATGTTTTGCAGTGCTGACTCCAGGACTGTAGACTTTTATCTGCTTTTCTACAGATTATATGCAGTATCTGTCACTTAAACTTTGTCCACACCTGCCTGCTTTTATCAGCTGCCTTACTAAATTGTGTACTAGGAAGGGTCATTTCATCTTCCAGAAACCATACTGGACTGTTTTTCAATCAAAGTATATTTTCCTCAGGGATGACACTGAGCCACTTACGCTACAATGGCAGTGTACTCGGGGTGACTTCATGCTTTAGAACTACAGAAACAGATACTTTGGTCAAGCAGAATTAAATTGGATTCATTTCAAATAGATGAGATGAATTTTGTTCAGCCATCCTACAGGGCAAGAAGTGGGTGAGAAATGTATTTCAGTTCTGGAAAATTCATGAAAATATCCTGTATGACATTATGTTTAGATTCCTACTTATCACTAAATATGCTGTAAAGAGCAGAAATTGAAAGGAAATTTTTACTTCCAAGTCATGATCAGTGTTTAGACTGATGCTTACTCCAGAAAGATGTGATTAATATCATGAAATAACAGAGAAATGAATCAGACCTTCTGATTAAGTAGTTTTTTTCTAATGTGAGTAAAACAATATTGATAGCCCTTTTATAATGAACAACATGAGGTTTATAAAACTTGTTTTATTTATTTATTTTATTATTATTATTATTATTATTTTTTGGTTTTTTGGTTTTTCTCCGGTACCAGGAACCGAACTCACGACCTTGCGCTTGCCAGGCAGGCGCTTTGCCGCTGAGCTAAATCCCCAGCCCCAAAACTTGTTTTATTTAGAATTTTTAATTGTTACATCTTCCCGAAAGACCCATCCACCTTACATGGAACTTTCCCTGAGGAGATCCTCAGCAAATATTCACAAAAATAAGTGATGGCATGAAGTTCTTTGGAATTACTGACACTTCTTAGGGGCAGGGAGCGGATGTCCTGCAAGCGCCTTACCTGCTGAGTGTCCCCTCACCATCTGGAAGACATGGCATTGTCTTAGAGTGACACAAATCTCTGTGTAAGGGAAGGAAAAGGGAGATACTCACTTTCCATTTGCCAGTGTGCATAGGGAGAGAAGTGAACCTATTGCTGTGATGATAAAACTTGTGATGCCTCTTTTGGAATATTCTTTGTAGCTCACATTATGATCTTTTGCTCTCCACTTCAGTAATAATTTACAATCCACATGCTAAGACATTCGGATGCTCACCGATGTTTTCTCCTAGAGAGAATACAGGAGCGTGAAAAGAGCACGAGCCACTGCCTCACCCTGCGGCTTGCGTGGGTTGGGTAACCTGGCTGTGCTCCGGCCTTGTTGCCTTTGTATAAGTGGATGAGTAGGAATCTCCAGCTGCCCATGGCACTAAAACTTAAATGATTCTGGTAATGCTATCTCAGTTAGATCTCCCCATCATTTAATAAAGCATAGACTTCAGCACTGAATTTTTTCTGGGGCGGGGATGTGTCTCAGTCAGCCTGGACAGTCCATGACGCGCCCGGTGTGATGATGTAATTTCTGACAGCATTTTTGACTTTCAAAAACGTCCCAGTTTGGTATGTAAATTGAACCGCAGTCAACATGTTTAGTAAATACAAAACAATCTTTACAAAAAATTCATGCTTCCTAAGAGTAATAAATATTAAACACTACCCTTTCCACTCAGGGCAGACACTGATTCTGGTATCTTTACCTGGTTTTTAGAATCTACAGTCTTCATTTTCTTTTCATGTCACTTCGAAAATCTTGAGAGAGGAGAGAGAATAAAGTGTTGAGAAATTCTGCTTTGAGTGGCGGAAAAATAGTTTGCAACACTTGGGAAGGAATTATAGAGCAAATTATAAATGT